CAAAGTCCTACATCAACAACAAAACACGTTCTGCACGCAGCCCTCTGGGAGGCTGGTGGTTATTGCGGAGTCTCTGCCAAGAACAGCAAAGACTGCACAACGGTTTGATGACATTCTCAAAAGTTACCACCTTGTTATGACACAACCTAGGCCAATGAAATCCTGAGCAAGTCTTTTCTGTCCGCACAGGCAAGAAACACCCGTAACAATCCTTCCCAACTGCGCTTAGCTACAATTATAATTTATACAGTGAGACCTTTCTGCAAGGTCTCCTTAAGCCCCTGCTCCAGCCTGACCGTATGAAGAACCCGAGAGATTCCCCTCCGAGAAGCAGCCAGACCCAAGCAAACCTCCCCACGGCGCTGCCGCGGGAAGCGAGACGCGCTCAGCCCCAGGGCCCGTCACCCAGGCTGCTCCCTTCACTGCTAAGGGCACCGACAAAACACAGCTCCGGGTCGGCGGGAGCTGAGCTACAGACGCTCCCCCATTAAGATGTGGCCCACAAAAAGCCAAGTACTCAGTACTCTGCACAAAGCCACTGAAGAGCTGACAGCCTGCACCGATTTCTTTCCTATTCAATGACCGGGACTGGGCCTGACACGACAGATATGAAATTCCATTACTGATCCCCTGGAACATCCATCAATGTCTCACATAAAAGACTTCAATACGAGAGGTTATTACTTTGCACACCACTTCCAGGAATTAACGCGTTTGCAACATTAAGACCACTACAGACTTTTATGTCTTGGCTTTACAAATGAAGTGATACTAGAATTATTTTTTCCTAAAAAATACTAAGCTTCTCCACAAAATAAAACAATTCTTCCTATGCAAATTATTTTTGTGGCTTGAAAATTCACAACTCACTATCTTTAAAAACTGTGTAGAACTTTAAAAATGATATACACTCATGACAAACAATTGAGGCCCATAAACTGGTTTTACAAATTTCAAATAACCACCTGCCTTTCCAAAAATACACACTTCCAGAAGCCTCTGGGTTATATTGCGACTTTTACTGACCAATTCCCTGTCTCTAGTTTTAAAGCAAGTTTGTGGTGGCCCCCTGCTATCACATTACCAACCCAACCATTTGCAGATCAGGGCTCAGCGCTCGCCTCCCTCGTGATCTAACTGCTTCGTGAAGCAAGTCGTCAACAAATACATTATGGCAATGTCATCATTATCCAGCAAAAGAGACTAAACTATTGAAAGGTCCACCCACAGCGAGAGAATTTAACTGTCTGCCACCGTGCCCAGTGCAGGTGGCACCTGCAAATGTTCCCGAGGAAGCAGGGATTGCCATGTAGACCTAAAGGCTACCCAGTCGAGAGGCACCAAATGAGGAGACAGTTTAAAACTTCTCTGCGCGCGGAGGCTCGCGCAGCGCACCAGCAATTAGCTATTCCTCTCACTTCTCCCCGCGCTCTGCGAAGAGCCTCAGAACTCGCCTTACAAATTGCTCTTTTGAAGATCAAAGGGGAGCCGAATTTGTCGCCGCGCTCTCCAGGAGCCGGGAGTTTAACGGCGTTCCCAGGGAGGACTCGGCAGCGCCGCTCCGCAGCCCTGGGCCGCGGGAGCAGGGAAGCGCCGCGGCTCCCCCCTTCCCAGATCCTGCCTTGCCTTTAATTGGCACCTCATTAGGAATTAATGAAAATGACATCCGCTCTTCTTCCTGCTCGAGGCACAGAACGCTACAAAGAGGCCCGTCGCAATTCATAGCACATCCAATTTATACAGCACTGGCTCTTTGGCATTATTTATGAGATGTGAATTTCTTGTCAGCAGTTAATAACTTGTACAGTGTAGAAACAGAATGAAAAAAGATCCTGAGAGCGCCTATGTACGTGTGTATGAAGATAAACAAATCTCTCAGCAGCTGAAAAGCGTGTTGGAGCTTAAAGGCCCTTACTGGAACTCCCTTCTCAGGGGTAAACTGCTTTTCCCTTCATCCCAAAGCCCTGCAGCACTGGCAAACCTGCCTAAGCGAGTGCCGAGCAGCGAGCTCCACAGCAGCCCCTTGCCTGGATGGGTGTTAGCAGAGGCAGGAGAACCAACACAGCAGGTTTTGCCCTAGGTGAAAAGTGGAAGATTTCTCCCTGCCCCTTGCTAAAACGCTGTGCTCCAGGGGACTAGATACAAGGAAACACCAAGTCCGGACAATGGGTCTTATTCAAACTTGCAATAACTGCACCCCTAACAAGCACTAGCAGAACCAATTTCAGTTCATGCTGGCTGCTAATCTGATAACCAGCAACTCTCCCTTTCTTCTAGACTTCACCCTTTACAAGTGCAATGTAAATGACAGAAGACCCACCTGGAAAAACATGGGAAAAAATACTGTGGGAAGAGTTTTGCTAAAGGAAAGAAGAGTGGACAGAGCTGACCTTCCAGGGAACCACAAGTCATAGCTTGAGTTAGCCCTTTAGTAGATGCGTCTTAACCTTCCTAATTTGAATGGACAACAGCAATATACACAAGCTTATCTTGAAATACAATCAAAGCGAAAAGTGATTTGGTTCAGGTTAGAAGACTTTCTTGCATGCTCAACATGAAAAAAGGATTTATGTCAAAATAGCCTGCTTTTTCTCCCCATAGTCATGATGAATAGAAAATTTGGATGCAATTTGTTGGCTGCTGTGTCTACAGGTCACACTGGGATAACACACACCAGTTCATCTACTTTACAAGTGTGCTCAAAGGGCACAGCTTTTCTTTTCCACTCAACATCTCACTAAAAGTCTCACTAAAAGAGCCGCCAGGGCATATCAGCAAAAAAGATGACTTTAAGGCTGGGCCAGGAAAATGCGTATCAGCAAACACTGCAGTTACTCTGCGCAGTCTCACACAGGTCATTTGGATTTTTATCCCCAGCGTTTCAGATACAGCTTTGGGCCATCAGGTATTTATACGATTAAGTCTTGCCCCTTGTATCCATGCAGACAACACTGTGGTGTCTGCCTTTTATCAAGTACTACTGTCAAAATTTCTTTTTATGTTTAAAACTGAACTTCTTCCACATTTTCCCTCTGCTTCAGTTAAGGATTAAAATGCCAGGAATTCAATATAAGAGTTCTTCATAGTCCAGATTCAACAACATGCTACCTTAACCATTACTTTATAAGAATGCAAATATTTATTTTATACCACTCGATTTGTCATATTTTAAAATCTTCTAGCTAAAAACACGCCACCACAAAATAACAACTTGATGAGAATTGGATTTAGAAAGCCTTTGAAATAAATGAGAATTTTAAACACGGTTATTTTGGCCCATTCTTCCCTGAGCCTCCCCCAGGGCTTTTGATTTGGCTTGTCTGACATGACCTAGAGGAACCTCCTTCTGCAGACAGGCAGGCCAAGTTGTGAGGATGGTTCTTCGGGCAGCTCCTGCAAAAATGACAAAACCTCCACACGGATGAGCAATAGTAAAGCACTCATATATAATCTAGTTTGCTCTGTGGTAGAGCTTTGCTTGCTTGCTTTCCATAATAATACTAGTAAGTATTACTGTAGGTTATGCTTAGCTTCGTATCTCACAAGTCTATTTTGTTACAGATAACACATATACACTGAATATTGTATTAAGGAAACATTATAGCTGCACAGATAAACCAAATCTACAGTCTTTTTGGCCATGTTGTAAACATGGGATTAGATTCCAGCCTCCCACTTCTCTCATTAAACATGTAGAATAAAAACGTTTATTATAAATCCTTTAAGCTATATAGAATTTAGTAGGTATGTGCATAAATGCAAATTTTCATTCCCTCACTTATTTCTGAGGGAGACAGTTTATTTTGCTCAACTTCATGTTTTATTAACTCATTTTATGAGCTTTAAATCTAAAAGAATATTTCCATAATGTTGCATATATCCAGTGGAAACAATTTAAAGAATAATTTCAACAGCATTTGTATTGGAAAAATGTTGAATTATGTAACTACTTCAAGGAAACTTGAGAGGGACCAACTAGCTGTATTTTTAGTCTATCTGGGAGAGGAAATAAAAAGGCATCTCATTTCATAAATTTTAAAAACATAACTAATTAATGGAATGAGTTTTTAAAAGTTATTTTTAGCTTCATCACTCTTACATTGCAATTTTATTGTCCTGCTTTGGCATTTACTTGTTTTATTTAAGCAAAAAAAGGCCTCCCGTCATGGAGAGCTCCAGAATGAAGGAGGGAGATGTGCATTTTTGAAAACTGCATGCTACCGTCCGAATAGAAAATTTGTTTGTCAATATAGGAATATGAAGATAAGATTAATGACAATCAAGCCATTTTTGTCTCCTACTTCCCCCAAGCTTTCACTACTCTCTTGTTCCCAGCACCGGGGAGGATTTTGCCATCTCGCTGGCAATGCAGCCACATCCCGGGCTACTGCAGGCAGCCTGTGGGCAGGGGCCCAAGCCCCAAGCTGGCCGCCCGCACGAGCTCTCCCCCCTCAGCCCAAGTGAGCGCGCGCTCACGGGAGCTGCGGAAAGCCAGCACGGATCATTTTATGCAGACAGGGAAGAACAACTCTTTTCTGATTGTTCTTTCCTGTTCAGTTGAGTGGGAGAAGGAAATTGTTTCAGTTAGAGTTTTAAAACAATAGTATCACATAAGGTGCAGAAGGGAGATGCTGACCTATGTTTCTATAAAGGTCTTTGGTTAATAAATAAATAAATAAATGTTTATCATCTTTGCATATTTACTGCTGCGTTTCATGTTTCTTCTCCTGTAAAGTGAGCATGACAGTCACCCACGTAACAGGAATTTCTGAATCTAAACTCATTGACATTTGAGTAATATTTAAGATTTCTTTAGACAAAGCACCACATTAGGGCCAAAGTTATGAAGTGGAAATCAGACAGGAAGGAATCAGGATGTTTGCCAGCAGTGGGAGATACAGCTCCTGCTTTGATATAAAGTGTTTTCCATACTTCTCTCTCTGGCATGGATCAGACACTGCTGCGTTAGAAAGCCAGATGTTCCTGACCACAGTACTCACCACAGCGACACGATCCCAGTTCCTGCTGTACTAGCTCCAGTTTTGTTTGGCACTGGAAGCACCGGCGTCTACTCTTCTGTTTGGATCGACTGGTTTCTTCAGGCCTGTCATTACTGTCATCCAGTAGCCGTGGCCGTTTCACAGGAGAAGCCTCACTCTCCGACTGTGAATCTGTTGTGTTCACAACAAACATTTTAGGAAAAAATATTAGAACTTCCTTGCAGACAACCCTTTGCCCAGCTTAAAGGTACATGGCTTTCAGCTGGGGTCATGTCAGGCAGTAGCATGCTGCCAGGTCTATCGCATGGATGCATTATTATTTATTTTTTAATCCATTAAAATGGACATCAAGTAAGGGATCAATTCTTTGTGGTCCCCACAAGAACTGCTCGCAGCTCACGGCACTGGATAGGAATGAGCTGTGTAACTCTCCTCCAGCCGCGACGGGAGTGCCTACAGACGCACGCGGGGCACGCGCCACCCAAGGACCAGCAGCCTCATGTGTCACCTCGTGTCACCAGGACACTGTCACCCCCCCGCCCCGCGCACACACACACACACACACAGACACTCGGGGGCCTGGGCGGTGTGGAGGGTTTCTCCGGTTTTTTTTTGCGGGCCGCGGCGCCCAGGCCCCTGCCACGCTCCCCTCTCCTTCCAGACAGGTAACAGTTGCAGTCCAAACTGTTATGCCACAAAATATAAAATAAGCCCAACCTCTAAGTGCATGCTATAAATTCCAAGTATTCAGCCATTTTGAAAAACTTTTTCCATTTATAGCTTCATTTATATAAATTTCTGCCTACAAAACAAAACAAAAAAAAACCCCACACAACTACAACACTTTTTGCATTTATAGCTTAATTTATATAAATTTCTGCCTAAGAGAAAATAGCATGTGCAGAACACACTTCTCAGAAGATACAAACCAACAGGTGCTGTCCTAAGAAAAAGCAAGTGAGCTGGTGACCCGCTATGGACTTTTTCATCGTGGTCACATGTTGCCAAGAAGCTGCTACAGAAAAGTTCAAGGTTGGGTAACTCAAACTCCTGTAACCCGCTGACTGCCCCTTCGAACCAAGCTCCTTCCTTCAGAAGTTAGTTACAGGAAGCATTTGCTCCAGGCAAACACTGGTGCTCGTGGTGCTTTTACACTGGGTAATATTCGGACTGTGTCTCTAGAATAGAGGCCCGCGCCCCGTTAGAAGCTGGCAGGGCCCAGGCGTGTTGGCCCCTCGGAGGCAGCCTCTTTCAGCCGACCTCTGCTCCGCAACGCTGGCAGCTGCCTTAGGTTGAACAGGCATTTCCCTTCCCAAGTCCATGCGCAGCTGAATCCAATCTGCATTTCTCTTTAATATAAACTGAGAATTATTTCAGCTCCAGCTGTATTAGAGATTGTTCATGTTAGTGTTGTGAGGAGGCCAAGTGCTGAAAGTCATTACTGCAATGAGTCAGCACTTGAATGTAAAATGGAGACCAAGAGAAAAAGCTAATAGTGCTTCGGTTATACCCATTTAAGGGACAAGAATTCAACAAGATAACCAGGGCTTTTAGCATAATTTTAGATTTCCATTGCACAGTGTCCTGTGCTTCTGAAAAATATTTCTACTTTGTGTTATCCAATTTGTTTTTAAAGGAAAATTTTAAAATATTAGCTGAATTTTTAATATTAAACCTATAAATATTTTTTTAAAGCTAACTAAAATATCTGGAGTAAGTTGCAATTTTGGAGCTCAAGAACAGAACGACCTTCTAGGTAGCGCTCTGCAAACTGGCCGCCCTAGTTAAAACAGTTACCCCCATCTTTGTAATCTCCATGAGTCCATCTGACCCACTGCTTATCCGTACCAAGCCTTACACCTCTGCCAAATATCTCCATTAGGTTAGGAGCAGCTGGTGGCCTGCCCTGCTCCAGGACAAGCTCCAGCAGCTTGTGCTGCTTCCCTGCGTTCAATTTAACTAACCTGCTCTTCTTACTGGTGTCCCAGATCTCGTTGCTGCTTTTCCAGTTGTTGGGCTCTGCTGCTGTGCAGTCACTATCAAGGCACGCTGACATTATCAGTACCATCAGCCACTGCGACTGCACAACTCGCCTCGCCTGGATCTTCTTTCTTTCCTTCATACTGCTCTCTAAGATGCACTGAGAACATACCTGGCTCTCTACCTCGTACTAAGCCCCCACATCTAACACTTTACAGCAAATTGAGCTGCTTTCCGCACAGTTTACAGATGACAGAGCTATTGCAGCTCAGTAAAAAACGTTCTGATCTGTGCCTCAGTACAGCATACCTTGGATGTGCTGCCATGGATCACAACACACGTCAGGGCTACAGTAACAGGTAGCAAGGAACATCCTGCAACGAAGAGGACCAACCACGGGAGAAACTGGACAAGGAAGGGGAGAACTGCCTCGAGAACTAACGCAGTTATTGACCCCGTCGTCTTAAAGTGCTGTCCTAAATCTCTGCAGAAGATGTTCTAAGAGGAAGCTCCTGGGAGTAGAGCGCAGAGGTCCCGAGCCCTCCTCCAAGGCAGCAGCCCCGCTGCGCAGACACCGCGCTCGGAGAGCCCCACGGCCCCGTGCACGGGCAGCCCGCAGGACCCGGCGCCGTCCGCCTCGCTCACAAACATGGGGAAATGCTCGACTTTCAGACATTATTTATCTACTCATTACTCAGGGAATTTCTGCTATTTCTACCTACACACCTTTGCTTTAGGAACCATGAGGAATTCAAGTCTTCCTCAGAAGCAAATTTGACTGCCTATTTTGAGCCGATGGAAAACCTGGTAGTCTGTTTATTATGAGGTCCAAATAAGGAATTCATGTCTGCGAGTCAGCCGCTGCCCGAATCAGTTAATGAAGCCACGTGCCACTGAAGGCTCTCCGTAATGAGAAAAACAGCAACCCCGCGTCAGGCTAGCAGTCACCTAATTAGAATATTTAATTATGCATTTCCTGTTAAGTAGTAATGACTAGTTGAATATTAATGTAAGTTGGCTAACAGAAATTATAGATTAGATATCTAATTTTTAAATGCATATTCTTGCCATAAATTAAACGGAGCTAACACAGAAGTAACTTGGTCTAACTCTCAGGGTCAGTGTCAGTTATCTGATTCCCCAATGCCGTGAACATGCGAGCATAGGCTCCCTCTCATTACAAAACTGGACATGCCTACATCTTCTCACGGAAAATCTCATGGAATGAAGTTAGGACGAAGAATCAGAAATCGAAACTCCTAGATTCAATCTGGTGTGCATTTCTCCCCAAGCATCTCGCCTTCTAAAATACAGTCACACAATAAATCTTTCAATACCGGGAATTTAGCAATGTTACACCTCAGAGAGCTGATAGCAAATGCAAATTACTCATTTTTTACTACCTGGAGTGCAGAATAGCAGACACAGGCACATTCATTAATACAAGGCAGAGTCAGTCACAGCAACAGGGCAGAGCAGTTTGACTAGAAATGAGAGTGACCTCTGAGCATGAGCTGCTAAACAGCCAAGAACAGCTATAGCAAAGGTGATTCCCTTCAGCCAGCTACAGGCTGGATGGCCTTAGCAGGACGATTCATGCAACAGGAATTACTTTTTGCTTTTATGAAACACATTTTCACTCTCAAAATGCATTTTAGCATCACTCCTAGACCAAAAACTTTTGGGTAGGGGGCAAGGGAGCCATAAGACTCACAGGGAGAAAAGTGCTGAGCAATGTAACGGGGTTGGGGGAAAAGATGGAACAGTAGCAGCAGATGAGGAAGCTCCTCCATCGCTGCTTGCTTCCAAGAACGGGCTGAATCTGTTTAATCTCTGATTGGATGGCAGCTTTTGAGGAGCTCAATCAGTTTTTTCCCCTTTTCCATAAAGGGCCCACCACCCTGATGGGCCGACGCACGTTGATGCCGGCGCGGTGACCAGCGAGCGCCCGCAGGCCGCGGCCAGCTCCCCTCGCACCGCTCTGCGCGGGGCTCCAGCTGTCAACGCCTCGGCCCGCCAGCACTCGCATGCAGCAACTGTGTAACAGCAGATAACTTGCTTGAGAAAGCCTTGACGCTTCCTAGATTTCCCGTTTTCCTGTCTTTACAGGAGGAATTGCTTGGTGACTCTGCATCAGAATTTTCCTCTGAGAGGAAACCTCCTTGTTAACTGGTCTTCCCTATCACATTTGCTGGAATCACTATTTAAAATCACCTCCTCTATTTCAAATGAACCGAAAATTAACACAGTTGTTCCAAAAAACAAGATGGGCAACCAGGGTTGGAAGCGCTCGTGCTCTCGGCCTCGGGAATCCTGAGACATGTTGCTTCACGCACCCCACACGGACGGTCTCCAGGATTCTTAGGTAAACCCATTACCAAGATGCCTAACAAAATAATAACTGTTCAATCAATTGCAAAGGGAATTAGTTCGGCATCTCACAACTACGTTCCAGTACTAGAACTGTTTGATAGTCAAATTCTTGCATTACTCCTTTACCCATATGCTCTCTCTGAGATCAGAGTTAACGGAAAAGCTGAATTTCTTAAACATTTTTACTTGCATGTACGTTCTAACTTACACACCCCCAACCGACTCCATCAAGGGCACGTTTAAATGCGCGCAGGCAGTTGCACTTTGCAGCTCCTGTGCTGGGGTAACAGGCTGCCTTTCAACCAGCTCGGACATTTTATAAGGCCACGGCCACTCGTAACTTGGCTGATATGAAGAATAACCTCACAAACCAGTTTGGAGGAACAGGAGACCCAGGTCTAGGATGAAGCTTGGAAGAAGGACAAAGGCAGATTTTTGGAGACAGCTTATACCTGAGAATAAGTAAGATTCTAGGAGGTGGCCTAAGTAATCAGAGCAGGATTATTAAGCAAAGGAGTAATGTACAGATAAGAGAGCTAAAACAAAAAGCAGAAACACAAGAAGGAAGAACAGTTACAACAAAGAAACGTAGATGATGCAAAGGGAGAATGGTGAAGATTTTTGCAAGAGCTGGGAAGGCAAATCACGAGCCTCCCAGCCATTCAAGCAGGGCCTGACTACTACTTACCCGCACACAAATACACATATTTACACACACAAATATGCTTGTGCAGACCCAAACAAGCTTACGCCGGTCCTGTAAAATGGAAAAATTCAAAAGCAGTTGGTACCATCCTAGTGGTGTTTATCCAGACTTT